CTGCTGTCATCCGCTGATTCGGTACACACGTCCGCTGTCATCCGCTAGATTAGAGGATGGGGTACGTGGCTTCCGGTCCGTAAGAGAATATCCGTTAACACCCAAGCGGAATCTGCAGAGTCCACTGATTGGGGCCAGCCGTCCGCTGCCATCCGTGCCACATCAGCAACAGAGAAAGTGCGGTCCGCTGAATTAACGGATATTTAACGGAGGGCGCCCTCGTCCACTATTAACGGATCCGGGTGGCCACCTCTAGCACAGAGCCCCTCTCAACTTCGGCCTCCTTGCTCTATTTCTTGGATTTTTTCAAGACCACTTCATGCCAGCACGCTTCCTTCTAGGTAGAGGTGGCCTTGATCTCCAGCCGCACAATCCAGACTGCTGTATCCCAGTCGCGGGCTTCCTATGCCTTGGCGGCAGTTGCCACCATTCTCTCTAGCAGCTCCATCATTCCCAGAGCTTGGAGAAATCTTGCCATAGTACCTGGCTCTGCCAGTGCGTCGGTGGGGGGTTTCCCCTACTTCTTCCATTGGCTAGTCTTGCACCTTAGCTTGCGTTTGACCAGCAGATGGCCCTATCGTGTCCTCTCAGACTGCCCCTTTATCGTCCGACCTTCCCTCACGGGATGCTTCTGTTTCATTGCCGTCCGCCGCCGGCGCCCCTTCTCAGGCTGCCGGTTCGGCTGAATTCTCGGCTTAGCCCTCACAGGCTATTTGATCGGTTTCCTTAGCCTCCATGGAGGAGGCCGGGGATGGAGTCTCCTTGCGCTATCTTCGCCTTGCGCCACAAAAGTGTGGAAACCACCCCTAGGTGGCTCCAAAATTAAATAATACAACAAATGTGCTGGTGTGGGGCACCTGCCCTCTTTGAGCCATAGACCCACCTCGCTGGGTACCTAGGTCCTTACGGGCACCTAGGCAGGACCACCCCGGCCTACTCCCATATCGTATAATAGAATAAGGTCCGGTTGGGGTCCTGCCACCGTATCGTGGGCAGGGCAACCCCCACATGAAGAGACCATTAATAAGGCATTCCCCACATTAAGCTAATATGCGTAACAAAATGAATATACTGAAATTGAATAGAGAAAGCTTTCAGCTTTCCATACATCTTTGCATTATCTAAAACGGGTTAGCAATAGTGGAGATATGGCTAGTTAAAATTGCAGTACTTAAAAATTGGCCGCACAATATTTTTTGATGAGATACTATCGATACGGGTATATTCAAATGTCGATTTGTCATGCTCCGCTCTACTATATGCAAGAGTCATGTAACCGACACTGCACAACTAGAGGTGGCCACTCAAAGATACCATCCGGTCCGTTAAATTTTATTCGTTAATTTTTATCAGCTGTCCGTTAAATTTCGTTAAAGAAAAAGGGAGAAAAATTCAGAAAAAACAAAAAAAATCCAAAAAAAAACGAAAAAAGACCCCAAAAATAACAACAACTGCGGCTAGTTGAAAATCTAGCATGCATAGGTTGAAATAAAATACAAACATACTCTCTAATAGCGAATTCCATAAACTATAAGTATGACTAAAACCCAAAAATCCCCAAAAAATCTAAAAATCCGTAAATATTTGGTTAAATTTTGTCTTTTTTCGTTATTTTCCGTTAATGAACGGAAAATTAAAGAAAATTAACCTCTGTCCGCTATTAACGGATCCGGGTGGCCACCTCTATGCACAACAACTTGTAATTTTATTCATACCCACTTCCATTCCCGAGGGTTGCACTTGCAGGCCATAAGGTGCTGGCACCCACTGCACTCATGGCCATCCCTATCCATCCAATCTTGTAGCCTAAGCCCATGCTGCGCATCCGAAGACACGAGCGCCACAGAAGCCTGCCGGCCATCTGATGGAGGAGACCCTGCCAGCTTCATCGGGCTCCACAGCGGACACATTGTCTGCATATCAACCAAAAACCATGCCAGTGTATGCCTGACCAATACCAATATATGAAAATGTGATAACGTTTGTATAAAAGATGTTGCTATTTATATAACCGAAAGCAACGGGTTTGCCTGTGAAACTGCACTTACCACCACCTGTACTATTGCGAATACGGTGGGAAGCATAATGCTATCTATTTTTAGGTCACAAACGCAACCAACTCCACAGAAGTACTGCAAAAACCGTATTTGTTGGCTAAATGGTCAAACGTGCGGAGTACTAGTGCTGCAAATGTGTCTAATATTGTCATTTGTTGATGATGTGACAGTGTCCATATGGAAATCTGCCACCTGCGTCCATCTTCGATCATTGTTCTCATTTTTGATCCCCATTTTCGAGAATGGTGCTGTTACGGCTAGAACTGATTGAGTGTTATTAATAACTGAATGTATGAAAAGATGACGAAGCACTAAGGATTGCATTAGGGATGTTGATGAACGGACTGGGTATAAAGGACAGAACGTCTGTTGTCCTTTTGCCTCGGCTGTAAACCGTTGCCGTGGACTCGAGCTTACAATTCCCGTTCAGGGATTGCCACCCCTCGACCCTGCCTGCCTTCGTCATTTGGCACCCGAGGCAGGGGGTGTGCAAGTCGAGACACGGACCAGGTTAGCCTGTTGCAACCTGGGGCGGACTGAGCGCCGAGAGCACTAGAGTTCTACGTTGCCCAGGCGACGTTTCCGAGGAGCTTTTTGGGATCGAAGATTCAAGACATCCATCGAACGGTTGGTTACGGCGGGACTCTAACGGCCCAGAGTCCATTTCGTGTGGCCCTTGTGGAGTGTTTTGGCAAGAGCGCCAGCGGCGATCAGCTGTCGCTAGGCGTGGGGGACATTACCTTCTGGGGAGGCACACCACTGTCTACACAGACCATGCTCCTCTGAAGGGACTGTTAAGGCATCCCGAAATGGCGTCATCGAGGGTAGCACGATGGTGCATGATTCTTGCAGAATAGGATTTTGAGATCGTGTACCGGTCTGGGAAATTGAACAAAAACGCTGACGCTCTCTCGAGATTACCCATGACTCAGGAGGGGAAAGGTGCGCTTGATGAAGATTTGGATATGATGATTGTGGTGCCTGGCAGTGATGAATGGTATGATGACATGCAGAAATATATCACCGCTGGAGATTTTCGAACAGAAATGCCAGAAAAAGATCAGAAGTTCATCAAGCGTCGGGCTGACCGTTTCGCAGTTATGCATGGGAAGCTATACCACAAGAATTCTGTGGGCGATCCGCAACTTGTGGTACATCAGGAGGACAGAAAGCGTGTCCTCAGTGGCGTTCATGATGATGCGGGCCACTACGGTGCACGCATGACTCTGACGCAGCTGATGAGGATGTATTGGTGGCCTACTATGGCAAGAGACGTCAGTGACAGTGTCAAAGCCTGTGAATCCTGTCAGAAGTATGGCCCAAATGTGAGCCCAGCGAAATCAGAAACATGGTTGGTATTGGAGCCGTTTGAAGTTATTGCATGGGACTTTATGGGCCCGTTCACACCAGTGGGTGACTACAGGTATTTGCTAGTCGTTGTAGACTATGCAACGCGGTGGTGTGAAGTTACACCAGTTGTGGCTGCGGATCACCATCACGTTATGATCATGCTGAGTGCAATTTGCGCCCGATTTGGCATACCCAGAATCTGCCTTTCTGACCGGGGAATGGCATTTAAGGAGCGACATCTTCGACAGATGGCACGTGATCTTGGGGTAGCATGGGTCTATTCACCAGCCTATTCGCCTAAAAGCAACGGACTGGTAGAGCGCACGAATCGTGAGTTGTTGGATCGCTTGAGGAGGCTAACTAATGGACACAGCGAACTGTGGATACGCGAGTTGGGGCGCGCAGTTCTGGCTGTCAACTCCCGGATTGTTGAGTCAATGAAGTGCTCTCCTTTCGAAGCTTTGATGGGGTATACACCAAAGCGAACACATGAGGTGGCATTACCGGTACACAGAGTGGAATCGCTAGCGGAGGGCTGGAGAAAACCAGAGTCTGAAGAATTGCGGCAGAGAATCGACGAACTGCAATTGCGCCGTGATGGGATTGATGCAAATCGAGCGGCTGTGATGAAGGGAAGAGAAGAAGCCACCAAAACCATGCGCAAGGTTCAGTTCAAACCGGGTCAAAAAGTGTGGTTACGCAATACGGTGAGGTTCAAGCAGCATGGCCGGAAATTAGACGCTCACTGGCTTGGACCTTATCGCATTTTGCGTCGCCTCTCTGATCAGAGGTACGAGATTGATCGGAAAGCACGAGGCGCTGATTCGGAAGAAGTCCATGTTGATCGTCTCAAGGAGTTCATCGAACAGAAAGTATAAAAACGACAGTGATGGCAAGACCGCGATGATCTGTGTGAATAAAGTGTACGCAAGGATTCTACATCGGCTTGATAATTGAAGTAAAGGGGTATGAAAAGGGCTGGATGGCATTTGATTATTGTAATGTTGTAGATTCAAGAATGCGACGAGATATTATGTTCAAGTCAACTGAGATGATGGTGTTTTGAATGCACGTGGAAAATCGCAACGAGGGCGTTCGCGATTGAGAGTAATGGGGCTGTATGTTACGGCTAGAACTGATTGAGTGTTATTAATAACTGAATGTATGAAAAGATGACGAAGCACTAAGGATTGCATTAGGGATGTTGATGAACGGACTGGGTATAAAGGACAGAACGTCTGTTGTCCTTTTGCCTCGGCTGTAAACCGTTGCCGTGGACTCGAGCTTACAATTCCCGTTCAGGGATTGCCACCCCTCGACCCTGCCTGCCTTCGTCAGTGCAACAATCCCATATGCCGGGAGACCGCCGCGGGGCGACCACTTATGGGCATCCACTCACGATCACGCATGAGCTTACGTGAACCAAGTGCACCGCTTACGGCGCCAGCGCCCAACAGGAAGACAGCAACTCGCGCCTGCTGCCAAGAACCACCCCCTGCTGCATTTCCCTTATCTTCCCACCCTTTCCAAGATACCACCGGCGTTTCTTCCCCCTCCTCCTTCGGCGTCAAGCTGCGGTGAAAAGCCCCGAGGATGTGGCTGATTCGTTCCGGACGGCACTCGTCAACCGCCCTTGGCCGCCCCAGCCCGGAGTGCTCGATCATGGTCGTGATCGCGTGGTTCGCCCTTGCGAACATCTGTGCTTTCGCAACCCTGGCTGGAGCAGAGGCATGCGACTCCAATCGGACGCTCTTCGTGAGGGGATCGCCAATCACCGGTGGCGTGAACGGCATCGTGTTCGACGGCCAAGACAGGCTGTACGCCGCATCCGTCTTCAGCAGCGAGATCGTCGTTCTGGACCCAAGCAACGGCGAAATTCTGGAACGTTATGGAAAGGAGAGAGGCGTGGAAAACCCCGATGACCTTTTCGTCTCCCCGGACGGCAGCATCTTCTGGACGGCGATATTCACCGGAGACGTCGGGCGCCTGTGGCCCAACGGGGAGGGGAGGGTTGTTGCAAAACTGGGCCCCGGGGTGAACCCCATAACCATGTCCGATGACGGGAGGCTTTTCGTGGGGCTTTGCTTTTTTGGAAACGGCCTTTACGAGGTGGACCCGGAGGGTGCGCGGGCGCCGCGCAGCGTGACGGATGAGCTGACCGGCGAGTGCTCCATCAACGGCATGGACTTTGGCCCAGACGGCCGCCTGTTCGGTCCCACGTTCTTCAACGGGACCGTGGTGGGCGTGGACGTCGATGACGGCGAGGTCGAGGTTGTGGGCAAGGGCTTCGACAGGCCCGTGGCGCTGAAATTCGACGGGCGAGGGGTGGCGCACGTGCTGGACTTGGCCAACCTGTCCGTGTCTTCCCTGGACGTGTCCACCGGACGGGTGGGCAACGTGCGGACTCTGTCCGACCAGCACAGCCCGGACAACCTCGCATTCGATTCGGCGGATCGCCTTTTCGTGTCGCACCAAGACAGCGCGATCCTGGAGATCATGGGGAATGGATCAATGAGGGCAGTGCTGCCCGGGGGGCTGACTAATCCCAGCGGCCTGGCGGTGGTCGCCAGGCCGGACGGGGGCGAGTCGGTCTTCGCGGGTTCCATGACGTCCATGAACGAGTTTGATGGCGCGACTGGGGAGCTCATATACGCCTGGACGGCGAATTTCGAGGGCTCTGATTTTCAGGGCACTTTCACAATGGCGACGGATGGCTCGCGCCTGCTGGTCACCACGGCTTTCACCAACTCGGTGCAGATTCTGGACCCGGTGGCGCGGAGCATCCTCGTGACGCGTATGGATTTCGACACCCCCCTCAACGCCATTTTTTTCAGGGACGGCTTTTTGGTGTCGGAAATGGGGAGCGAGGGCGTCGTCTTGGCGTCGGTGTCGAACTCCTCCCAAAGGACGGTGTTGGCACGGGACTTGGGACTGTTCACGGGCCTGGCGGCCACCGAGGACAACGCATGGGGCGTCGAGTGGACCAACGGCTCTTTGTTCCAGCTTGTGAAGGACGGCAGCCCGGTCGGAGAGCCTGTGGTGGTCGCCACCGGGCTGCAACGCCCCGAGGGAATGGCAGTGTGGCGGGATGGGCGGCTGCTCGTTGTGGAGACGGGCGCGGGGCGCCTGTCGCTCGTCGACCCCAAGAGTGGCGACAAGGTTGTTGTGGAAGAAGGGCTGGCCCTTGGGCTGGAGGCGCTGCCTCAACAGGTTCCCACGTGGACGTTCAGCGACGTGGCCGTGTCCCCGTCGGGATCCGTCTACGTGAACAGCGACAAAGACAACGCTTTGTATCGGATCGACATCGAGGGCTGCACTCGTGAATGATAACAATGTTTTGGGGGAAATGGAACAATGTTTAGTGCTTGTTGTACTGTGTTGTGGCACGTTTTGCAGACAGTTAACAGTGGTTCGCAGCTGTGGCAGCGGAACCCTGTTCAGTGCACCAAGGACGACCACAACTCTGCACGCTCGTTTAAACAACACGGAAGAAAAAATAGGCGCCTGTGTTGCGAGCATACGGCAGCCAATGTCGCGCCATGCCCACAGACGACGCTTGGTACGTTGCAGAAGCCCGTCTGCTCTGAGTAGTGTACGAACGCAGCTTGCAGTGCCCGTCGGACCGGACGAAGCATACCTGGATGGATGACGGCGTGCTGACAGACGTGGACATACGGAGCCTGCTGGCAATTGCGGCGTTTCCCTAAGCTCCTCTTACAACGGACAGACCGTGTGGCACACACAATAGTTTCACAAGTCACTGGGCGCAAGAGCAAACCCACGTCCTAGCAAACGGATGCCACAGAGAACAGCCCAGCATCTCTGGATCTACGGAAGACCAGCCATTATTCCTCGGAACGCTCAAGAGGTCCCCGTCAAATCCAACCATCTGGACAACAATTCAATTGACTCCGTTTTCGCCTACGTGTTCATTTCTCCCACTTGGAGGATCACTTTCCCTACCCCAAGGTTTGTTGACACAGGATAACAATGCTGCACCAAATCAAATTCTCGTAGACTGCCAAGGCGAGCGCGACCCCAAGATTTCTGGCATGAGGAATACCCGGAATCCGACCCAACAACCTCCGGGACAGGATGCCGTGCTCGTTATTTCCCGAACCATTGGGAAAGCAACATTCCTTCGTACGCCCAACCAGAGAGGGGAGCAGCCCAATCGACTCCATCCGTTCACGTGCTCGTTCTCCCCATGCCAGCAGCTGTTTCCGCGCTCATACCGCCCTTCCCCAGCTCCCTTAAGGCCTCATTTTCCAGTAACCCATCAACTCAACACACACACCCCAGCAGGTTGCCACTGATAGCTGGCAACAAGCAGAATCGAACAGACACCGTTTTCACGGCAACTGCCTCCACAACGTGATCCCCGTTGCCAATGGGGGAGGCACCAAACCCGACTATATTACCAACGCTCCACCGAGCAAAAGTTCCCAGCACCAAAGTTCAAGAGCGAAGCCGACAGTAAAATCTCCACCACCGCGCCTCACACACCATTGTCAGTGCAGACTTGTGTTGTTCCAGACGACCTCGGTCAGTCAACACTACGCGGCACTGACTGATCCGCCAGTTTGCTATTTTGGCCCTATGTAATGTACACGGGCTGACGGAGCAATACCAAACTCTGTAGAAAGCAAGACAAAATCGGCCACTGGCCACATCTACTCGCCCCCAATTAAAGCCAGAACCTGGAGCAATCTCTGAGCCACGAATCGCCCAAGGGGGACATGACTCCCACAGAGATGCTTGTTGCGCGTGTGTGCGCTCCAGTGCTGTAGTATGGATTCTAAACAACACAACAGGGGCGATCAAGCCACATGGCTTATCGAGGGGCTGACGTCCAGACTGTAACTCAAAAAACTACTATCGAATGGTAAAAAGTTGTGTGTTCCGCTGGCAACACATTTTTAGCGATAATTATCGCTTGTTCCCATTCGCAGCTAGACAATTTAGTTCAGTCCCGCTGTCCGACAAATTGCCACTGCCAAGAGGCGTACGTCTTTCCGCCTCCCACCATTGCCATCACCCCCCAGTGCAGTAAGCCCTGGAAAGTTCGCACAAACCCCAGAACTGCAAGCATTCCTGCTATCTACACACACCCCATGCGCAAAATCTCACATGGCCTGTCCTTCCTATACACCTCACCCATATCGTTCAGCTTGTCAACACTACAAATTCGAAGAATACGAGCTAGTCACACACACCTCTTGAGACCAAATTGTCGTTCCCACACCAATAGTAAGGGCTACGGAAAAATCGACTACCGAAGCTTCCCCAAAGCCACAGTGCACCACCAGTCAGCATATTCAGGGATCGTTCTGCAGTTCATCTATTTCAGACCGGTCAAGTGGTCTCCCGCACAAGTTTTTCACCCAATGCACAAATCGCGAACAGCGCCTGGGTCCCCCTCTTTGACTCCATGGCTTGTTCGGCATCCTGGCCGCAGGGAACTTCTCCAGTTCATGTGGCCAGAGGCACATGGGGGACTGCTACAGTCGCCTGCGTCCCTCAAGCATCGTTTCATACCCAATTAGGGGGAAATTGACGAACAGCCAACTCTCAGATACCTTGCCCCTACCTAGCCCCATGGGCAGCCCCTCTTGCCTTGCCTTCCTCATGGACTGCATCTCTACTGAGCCAGAGCTCCCCCACCCCTTTGTATTTCTATGTCCTCCTTCAAACAAGTGTTTTCCCGTTTCAGGTCAGTTCAATTAGCCCCCTCCCCTCCACCGCATGTCCAGATCAGCACTCTAATTTTGTATGTTCCCCCCCTCCCTCAATTCTACTGTGGGCCTCCGGTGTCAAAAGCCGAGGAGCGTGGCCGTTCCTCTGGATCATGTGTTTGGGGCACCGGCACCTGGGGTTCATGTTTCTCGTAAGCCCTTTCTATGGTTTGCACAGCACGTGCATCCAGGTGGCCACAGCTTGGCCCTTCGTCCTCACTCCTGCTTGTGCTGGTTTTCGGCTGCTGCTGACATAGGCTCGATCTGTATAGGGCAGCAGACAGGTGCCTTTTGTGCTTGCCCCCCACCTTGAAGCCCAATGCTGATGCGTCGTAAAAGAGGTCGTGGGGTCCAATACCTGGCCATTGTGAAACCACAGGAGGCATTCTGTCAGTGCGCCCCAGACATGGCAAGCTGCTTTGCGTGAATCCAGTTAAGACTGGCTGTCTATTCTGTACAATTTCCTTGGAAAAATAGAAGGTATGGCAAAGTACAGCTGGAAAGGAACATAGAAACTGTCAGCAAGCATGGCGGCAATATCTGGAGGCAAGACAATCTGCAATGGTCGGCTGATAGAAAATGCACTGGTATTTGCCTTTTCCGCTTTGGCCTTGAGCCATTTCTACAAGGCTATGGCAAACAGTTGAAACAAACCAACAGGTACAGAAACCTCAGGACTGCAATGGCACAACACAGGCAACACAAACAGTAACTCTAGCCAAAGTGGTCAAAGGGTACAGCTGAGTAAACTCCTGCTCAACACGTTCCCTTTCACTGAAACACATTCAGCTTCCACACAATGCCATCAACAATGACCACAATGAATGCCAGTTATGGCAAAGGAATAGCAAAGGGCACAACTGATCATATTCAATATGCTCAATACTAATTGCGACTAGAATTGGAGGAGCATCAACACTGTCCAACAGCTATCTTCCAGGCAAGAAGAAAAGTGCTGCATATGGAACAGCAATATGCCACCTGCATTGGCAAGATCCGCAACACCATGGTGGCGTGCATCAACAGTATCTATGTCTGACATATAAACTGCAATCGCAAACAAGACACAGCCATCTACATGTGCAGTCGCGCAACACACCAAGACAAATATCACAGCACAGTGGGAGCCCACCATTTGAATTCAGTGGTCCATCGCCTATCGTAAAGCGAACATCAGGAGGCATGCAGAACCCGAGCTCCACGTCTCTATCCGGATCCACCACCAGATCGGCTGACTCCATCCACTTTTCTACTTTGCTCGTTGACGTGCAGATGAGGCTGTGGGGCGACATCTCCACTTTCTGGTTCTCCTTGTGCTGTCCCTTTCGAAGATCGCACACACTGCTGTCTCCTGGTAAGGACAGGGGTATCCACGGGAGGCATGGGCAGCATGCAGCTGGGCATACCAAGGCGCCCTAGGCAAAGCAGGACCTAAGGGTGTGATTGAATGCATCCTCAACAGAGTAAATGTTGGTACCGCTGTGGTGAATGCAGTCGCCTTGTTTCTTAGTTTCGGGCATTTATACCTCATTTGATAGGTCGACTGTTGCCATGCACTGCAGAAAACTCAGCTCAGGAACGAATGATCACAGATGGACGGACTGTAGTTTCACACAAGCTCCCCTGGGATATTCTCCCGTCTTTTTCCGCACTGGGCAGATGGCAGTGCGCGAAACAATAATCACTGGACATTGGGAGTGACCTGATGTCCACTGTCGCATGCATGTCACAAGGGCTTCGTTTGTCACGTCCATTTGACAAGTGCAGTTAACACGATCATGCCAGGTGTTCATTCAAAATGAAGCATCGAGGGCCTGGCCCACCCAGTCAGGGTCTGCAAGACTGGCAACTGGCAACTCACGACTCAGTGGATGCCCTTAACACTACAAGCTTATCCTGGTTCAACAAACCTCAGGAGAAAGGAACTGACGGCTGTTCACCACTGGGGAACAGCCGGGCACCTGCAATAAAGGAACTTGCATAACTGCTGGCTGTGAGAGTCTCGAGCTTACCCAGTCTGCCCATTCCATCCAATCTTCAGCATCAGCCCTTAGTCTCCTCAGCGAGCCCTGGAACAAGGTCCCAGACGGGCTGGCAACCTCCAGCCCCTTTATCGTGTACACTCCACTCCTCTGGCCGCCACCAACGATCGCTCCCTCGGGTGTCACTCTCACCATGAGCAATCGAAAGAGAACCACCATCCTCTGGTAAGAAATAGGCAGCTCTGGAGTCAGCAATCATATTCAAATGGATGGACTGCAACTATGCATTTTCATTGTCTCATTGGATTCATGCGCTTTCCCTTTCCCTTTCATGTGGTCCATTGGCACTACTCTGCGGAAGGGGAGGAATCTCAGCTCATCGGGGAATGCAATGTGCATCTTTGTACGGCACCCAACATCGCAGAATCGGTTAAAGGGGCAGTGCTTTGTCAACCTTTCAGTGCAGGCCAACATGCAAACATGAGCACACAGGAAAATACTAGTAAGTGGAAGTAGATCCATCTTTGGACAGTGAGTAGGAAATGTACACTTGGTGAAAGCCCTCGTTCGGTGAAAAATGGACCTGAACATTGGCCTGACTTATGCTACACTGCATACAGATTCTGGACTTATAATTGCATCTTCCCTGGCTTGTTTTCTGTGTCCAAGAGCATACTACACTGCTGAACAGACATGCAAAGTTCAACAACAGCAAACACTGAGGATGTACCTGGAACGAATTAAGCAGGTTGTCCCTTAGCACCGCGCTTGCACCGCGATACACCTCGATCGAGCGGAAGCCGTAGACCATCACGGCAGGGAGCACCACGACAGCGATGATCAAGAGACCAACTGCAAGGCTCACCAGGACATAACAGTCCGTGCCTCCACCTAATTGCACAAACCAGGATAACACGAATTCAAAACACAACAATGACATCGAACGGTAGAAACTCATGAGACTCATTCATGACTGCACCACATGGACCATGTTGCAATACAAGACAAAATTTGATTGAAGGTGGCTACAGCCCACATTAATGACACAGATCCAAGAACTGTGCCCTTGCAAGGCCCTGGGGGTTGTCTGTCTTACGCATCCTAACTGGGAGTTCTGCACCAAGTTCTTTGTCAGTCATTCTTTGTTGGCCATTCTTTGTCGGTCACTCTTTGTCGGTCACTCTTTGTCGGTCACTCTTTGTCGGTCACTCTTTGTCGGTCACTCTTTGTCGAACACCATACTGTGCCAAGTTAACAAGCAAGGAGAGGCCAAGTTTGTGGTTGTTTCGTTCTTTCTGCCAAGGGCACTCCCAGCACAGTATGTAGTGTAACATGCCGAAACAGGTTTGAGATGGCTCTCCAGTTGGAGATCCCCACACATCGTCATCAGCAGATACGACAGCTGGGATAAGGCTGTTTTGGCAAAACCAGACACAAAATGGGGTCCTTGACGTCATTTTTGCTGACATGCACATGAATGCCCCAGGGCAACACATCCCAGTGCTCTCCATTCAGATCATGGAAACAAAAAGCGCACTGCGATTTGCTGTGATTTCCGATCTGCCAGGTTCCCCCTGGGTGCTGGGCTTTCTTTGTTGAGGTTGTGCACTCATTTTCATAATATAGTCTATTGGGCGTTACAACACCTTCCCACATCTTTTATGTCAGGACAAGGCTTGCATCTGGGCTATCAATGCAATGAAAACATTTGGAATAAAAGAATTAAAAAATGCAAGTGGTGGAATAAGGGAAGCAATAAATGATCCCGACAACAGCTAGCCCACCTGCTATTGCAAATCCACACAGTGTAGCCCATAGGCCGGCGACCAGCGACACATTCCTGGCACAATTGATCCAGTGCACAGTGCACGGAGCCATGAACAAGTTCAACGCAAGCAGCACAGTGTAGCACAACATTGCCAGACCCAACAGCATCCATCTGCAGCCGTCCTTCTGGCCGAAGAAGACGAAGCAAGTAGCTAGCACGAGTTTCAGCGACCCGCTGAACGCCGACCACGTGGATGAGAACATGGGCCGGTCGAAGTCAAGCACCATGAGATCGATGTCAGCCAAGATGGCTGGGTCATGCAAGCAGGCCTGTGATGAGAATGTCATGTGGTCGTCCTGGGTGAATGCCAGCAAGCTCTGTGAGTGGATGCACAATTTCTGATCATCTTTATTTTGCTGTCCAATTGTACACAAAGTAGTGTTGTTGCAGAACATTTTGCCGATACCCATACAGCTACAACGATGATGATTTCCACTGGTATTCTTTTTCTGATTGCATTGGCCAAGATTTCACTAATCTGCAACTCCGGCACTGCACATCAGGCACATATTGCCGCCTATGGCATGACAACCCATGTCTTGAGTGCACAAATCTATTCGTCAAGAATACATCACTTCCCAGAGCTGCATGAAAGATGTGGGTCAGGTGCGCCTTAAAAGTTTATTGCTCTGTAAAGGCATCGATGCATCAAATTGATCATACAAGACAGAAGACATTACTTTATATTGCTGCTTGCAGAACGAAAGGAACATCAGTTTGGAATAGCTCACATCAATTCCCACAACACTTCACAAACAACAAGAGGGCAAATGCCTAGTCCAACCTTGCCTACAATGCCTGAACATAAATCGATTTATGATTGAAGCAGATACCTGGAGGACTGGGTAACAGTATACTAGTAATCATAACATCAACAAAAACACAATTGGAGCAGCGACGCTTCATTACAAAAATAAGCACAAGATTGGTGCCACATTTGGGGCTGTGAATGCAAGCATTCTTTGAAAACAACTTACACAGATCAGGAGTTCAGAAGAACCCATACAATGAGTACCAGGTCTTCTCAGCTTGGATCTAATCTTTGGAAAAACGGGCAGTCCAAGTGCACAAGTCCATACTTCACCTTTTGGAAGCATTGTTCCATGATTTTGCCCATGGGCGACCTGGCTGCGCTCCTGTGCTTGCAGGGGCAGCACAATGTGTACAAGAGTAGGTTGTTCCAACACACCATGCCAAGCTGACACAACAGCTGTAGCAAGCTCAGGGCAATGAACGTGATGTGTGTGGACTCCTGTAGACAACATAACCACAATTAGCCCACTGATATGACCTGCACATATGAACCTAGCCAGCCAGTCACATAACTAGAGTTGCTTATAGCCCACAGTGTGCTCGGGGCAAGTTTAGGAAAATCTGTCTCATGTAACCTATGTTTGTTGCATCTCGACACCAGCGATCATGTATGATTTGCATTCACAGCACTGCAGGCACTGATGCCTTCCAAATGGCAGTGCCATTCTCTCGGAATCTCAGTTCGCGGACACCTGTAACCAAGGATGACCGATTGATGGTCGATTTCGGGCGACAGTGAATAAGGGAACGAACACCCAAACTCCACAATCACACAAGTCCTGAGCATGACAATTGAAAGCATGTGGTGTCAGCCAAGGCAATCAAACCCACCTGCCAACAACTAACGCCTGACTTGATCGGAAAGCACTGGGGGCAGAAGAATGGCATCAGCAGGGCAGCAAACATAAACAAACACTCAAACTCCTGCATCAGTTCCTGCACCCTTATGTACAGGCCAACTGCAAACTGCACCACCAAGCATACTCCTTTGGAGAAAGCATTTTGGGCCATAGTATTTTCGCCCCCAACTCTCTTCACAACCTCTGCGATGAGGCCCAGGCCAGACGCAAGGCTAGCCAAGAACACTAGTGCCAGCATCGGAGAAAGCACGATCCAGAGAATGATCTCCATGGTGTCATAGTTGTTGTGAAGGTGTTGTGGGAGGCCATATTGGAGAATCTGCACACAACATCAATCAATAAACCGATGAAGCGATGAATGGAATCAATAAAAACATCGAACAGCCAGTGTGTCAGTCAGGCAGGCAAGCAGCCAAGCTGGCAAGTGCTGCTGTTGAGAGCTGTGGCAGCTGGACACAGGCTTTCAGCCACGAAGACAGAAACTTGTTGAGCCCCGAGACACATAACATCTCCTTTTGATTCAAGAATGAACAAAACACAGCAGGAAAATGGCGTCGAGCAGGGAGCACTACCTCCCGACCCTTGAATGCACAACCTGAGCTTGGCAAACAACATTTATTGAACTTGACATCCAGAAACAGCATAGAGAAGCACAGAAAATTCTGCCCCAGAGCCGCAATCCCGGGTAGTTGCTCATGATGAATTGTCAACAGAATGTGCCCAACCTGGTGTTCAAAAGCAAACAATACCAAAATCCAAATATGTCTTGATTGCCAAACAAGTCGACTCATCCCACCCCTTTGTGATATTTGTTGAGATAACAATTCAATTTACTCCCAGTGGTGCATAAAGTACCACGCTTGTGCAGATGGCACTCCAGCGTGTGGCACCAGGAATGTCCCTACAGAAAGAAAAAATGGCCAACCCCTGTCTAAACCCGACGCTGTTCTAGTACATCGTTCCAGCAATGGCCCATCAAGGCAATGCTCAGTAAACTACCCCAAGTCACAGTATCCTACCTAATTGTAGTGTAGGGGGGTCATCTGCTGAGCCAGGATGGGCCTGAAGCTGTATTGAATCTCTCCGATACATGCTTACTCGAACAATATCCGATGCGATGCCCGATTTTACCCATTGGTGAGAACATGTCAGCACAGATGATCCTTGCAATAGGTGGGCGCTCTTTGTAAGCATGGATTCATTCAGTCATGCTTCCCACCTTTGGTAATCTGCTGTTGTCCCATCCAACCACAGGGGCAAAGGGCACTGCGATGAACTGCAGCGCCTCTGCCAGAGTTAGGATAATGAGCCAGGTGGTCTGTGCTGCAGGAACAACTCGTGAAGCTCGCTGTGATTCAGCCTGGAAGCAAAACAGCTGGCAGTCACACAGAAGCACGACTGGCAAAATGAAGGCTGCTCAAAACACGATGGTGGTCACTGTTTGCTCAGGAAGCAGGGGAGCATTCGATCTGTTTTGACTGCATCTTCAATGATTGACGATGTCTTGCATCTGCATTGTGATGCTGGGCACTTGTTAGCTCGGCAAAATGTTCCATGGTAAAAATTATAAAGGTAGGGTTTCAAGTTCCTTGACATGTTGAGCCCTGAGCGTCAGAGACTCTGAATAGGAATAAAAAAGGCATTGAGCCAGGGCCTTGAAAAGATCAATGCCTGGCACCATCAGGATGCACCCAACACCATAAGGATCTGTGTAGATTGGGGCAAACCAGTCAGCATCCAACTAGTGCAGAAGCATCTTTCCTTGGCCCATGGTGGTCAGCTTAGTACCCCAAGTCTGACAACAAAGTTACTACAAAGCCTACAGCTACAGCAAGAAGACTAGACCATCAAGATATCATCAGACCAAATTATGTGCTGCAAGGATTGCAACACAATCACCACAAATGAGACGCAGATGCTGACCTTGGCAACAGACCATGCCTGAAGTCAACCAGAAGCCACAAAACCCAAAGTCTGCCTCCAACACGTCCAAAACGAGCCAGCATTGGCAAAGCTTGACAGATAATGGGAGGCTTACCTCCAGATGAGCCCCTATGTCCTCCAGCAGCTGTGGGTCAATAGGATTCAGCCCCCTCTGATGGATGCACCTCAATACTTCATTGACTGCCTGCACCATTACTGAACACAAATTAGTTGCAGCCCAACCATTGCAAACTAGTCCAAAGCCCAAATTCGAACAACTTCCAAAGCATGCAAGTTCTGTAGCTTGCTGCAAGTGAGCGGAGCGATCGGAAATTTGTTTGCAACTTGCCAAGGAATGGCATTGACAGGCATGACATGAACTCGTACCATTGTGCTCTGAGGGCAAATGCACAATGATTCTTGCAGGTAGGAAAAAAAGGCATTCCAATGGGCGCTGCTCAAAGACAAGACTGTCTGAACCCCTGTTCCACTAGCAAAGGGTGCCAACGCCACACAATGCATGAAATGGATGCCTCCAATGAACGGGTTTACTCATTCCCCTGCATATTCCAAGGCGCTGGCACCATTCCAGGTAATACACATAATATAAAAACAGCACAATGGCAATGGCGCGTGCCTCTACTGAATTCAGATCATAAGAAAATGGCAATTTTCTGGCGGCGACTGGAGAGACAAAAACAGGAGCTCATGATGGCGATCCAGTAACTTACAATACTGTGAAAATAGACATTTCTTTTTTTTTGTGAGTAGCATATAACATAAACGACGAATCATATTTCACTAAAGCATTCAAAGCAGGGCAGTGGGGGCATGTGCATTTGTTGCAGATTGCAACATTGGGGTTTGTAAAAGGATTTTGGGACATGCCATACATCCCATCCAAATACAATCTTTGTCAGCAAGACTCTTCCCTAGTCCGCACTCCCAGTGTGTTTTTGTGGCAAGTCACCCACTACCCACCCACACTTTTCCCTGCACAGAAAAGGAGTCTCTTGCCTGCTGAGGAGTGGGGGTGCACATGCTGTGACATCCCCAAACCTCGAGCATTAATATCAGTCCAACCGTTTTCTCTCTGCTAGCAAGAAACTACTCACATGTGCAGAATTCTAATGGCTACCGTTGCCCAACACACCATACAAGCAAGCCATTTTGACAGATGCAGGACAAACATTACGTACCACAGCGGCGCTATGCACAGCCTTGTCACAACACCAAGGTAGGAAATCCTCCACCTCCTCCTCTTCTTCTTCTCGTTGCACATGACAAAACAATTCCTTGCACATCAATAGGCGATGCTGCACTGTTCACCTGTGTCTTCCTGTTGCTGTCCGCCTCCCGATCAAGGCGGCCCCACCGTCTGTTGAGGTGGATGCTCGCCAGCTGGATGGTCCCAGGCCCCCGAAAGCGCATGCGCACCCATGGGGCCGCGAGGGCGATCAATATGAACGCGCTCACGCCCAGGGAGGCCCCATCAATAGTCATGTGGAATCATCAACGAAATCCGCCAGAGACGTCGAACCGATGGATTGCCAAAACCTACGCAGCATCGAAAATTATGGGGTGAGCTGCGGCGTCGAAGCGTCGGTTGCTTGTTCACCAAAAAAAATGTAAACCCCTGAAGGACGGGAGAGTCTGGCCGCTGAGTGGGAGGGGCGAAACGCCAAGCGCTGCTACTCAACGACCCTCCGCTAGTGAGGCGGGATTCAGAATGCCTCAGCGGCACTGCCGAAATGGAGATGATTTGGGGCGCCGTCAAGCAAGCCACAGGCGCCCAAGATTCGAAACACCCTGATGGACGGCAGAGCCTGGCCATCGAGCGGGAGGGCCCAAACGTCAAGCCCTAATACTCGGCTAGCTTCCGCCACTGAGGCCGGATGCAGCGGAGCGCAGCTGGCAATGTCGATGTGGAGACGCTTGAAGGTACCGCAAATAAAGTCGCAAGCCCGAAAGTTTCGGCAAACAGTGATCGGCGACAGAGTTTGGCCTTCGCGCGGGAGGGCGCAAAGGTCAGGCGCTGATGGTTGGCGAGCCTGCGCCAGTAAGGCCGGGCGCAGCGGATTGCCGCGCGTATTGTCGATATGGAGATGCTCGACGGTGCCACAATTCAGGTCACAAGCCCCAAGCATTCAAAGACCCTGATCAGCAGTAAAGCCTGGCCATTTAGCGGGACCAGGAGGGTCGAAACGGCGTGCGCTGATGCTCGACGAGCCTCCGGCGACAGGGCCGCATGCAGCGGGTTGCAGCAGGCATTGTTCGCTGTGGAGGCGCTTAGCGGTGCCGCAGATCAAGTCACAAGTCCCAAAGATTCTAAAGCCCCTGATCGGCGGGAGAGTCTGGCCATTGCGCGGTGGGGTTGAAACGTCAAGCGCAGGTACCCGACGAGCCTCCGGAAGTAGGGCCGCATGCAGCGGAATGCCGCACGCATCGTCGACCTGGCGACTTGCTCGACGGTGCCGCAGACCAGGTGGCAAGTCGAGGCGCGCAGCGGGCAAACCGCGACGAGCGAAAGCCGGCCGGCGCGCAGGGCGCAATCAGCTCGCGGAAGCTCTGCTGCGCTGGAGCACGGAAAGTGAGGTGCCGTGCCGAAACAGAAGCAGCCGCCCCGACAGCGACGCAAAACTGCGCGCAGGCCGAAACATTCACCCATCCAAAGAGGGACAGCAGGCGCCGAACAACGCCCCCAACTCGCAGGCTGGATGCCTCGAAACACGGCTTGACGGCTCACACCGCCGACATTGACGACAGCAGTACACCAAGGCCACCGGCGCGAAACGACCAAACCCCGACATCCACAAAAATCTCCCCCTCGCAAACATCCTTCAGACCTCACAGACCCCCGTCCCTTCCGCATCCCCACCCATCCACCCAATCCCGCCCATGCCGCCCCCAACAAGCCGCCCAGCCCGGAGTGCTGACGTTCGGGTGCCGCGAAACCCCGCTCCACAAACCGGCGCCAAACAAGGCTTCACGCACCAAAACACGCCGCTAAGTCGACCACAAGTCACGCGGGCGCAGCGCCCAAGCCCCCACGCGCCCTCCCGTTCCCGCCCCGACAGCCACACCGCAAAGACTCTTGGCGCCGACACCCGGAGCGGGGGGCACCGCGGCGATCGGCGGCCTCTTGGCCGCGCCGCCACCCCCTCGGGCGTAACCAACACCGGCGCCACGCGGTTCGTGTGGCTTGGAAACCCAGCGGTCAACAGCAAGGGCCCCCGCCTGGTGCCGGTGGGGCAAGCCGTGGAGAGAGATATTAGGGAGAGCGCGTTTGAGGGCAACACACGCCAAATTGCCCCGTATTGGGCCCCGACTGATGCCAGGTCTGCCTCCGCACACTGTACCGGACAAACGTAATTGGTGATGCAGTCCTCGGACGCCGCGGATCCATGCAGAAGGGAGGGTGGTTGTGGTGCTGGTGGCAACGGGACCCTGGCGGGCGCCGCGCGGTCGATTCTTGTACGCCAGGGGTTATTCAGCGTACTACAATTCGACTGCTGACCGCGGGGTCGCAGTGCTGCGCCGTTGATCCTGGGGTTGTGGGATTGGGATCCGGGACGCGGGGTCCAAGGCCCCGAATCCGGGCATGCGACTCTGCGTGGATTCGGCGGCACGTACGATTTGGTACAGTGCGGGCAACGTAGGGGCGCGTCATGGACCTGCACGCGCCACGTTACGCGCGCAAACGCGCCTCGCGGATGTGCGTGGTGTGTCAGCCTACGTCAGGGGGCATGACAGCGGACAGCCAGAGTCGGTGAAGCATGGGTTTAGGGTGGAGAGGAGAAGCAAAGAAGATGCAGTGAAGTCCTTTGCAGCGGGGCCAAAGACGCAGCGGGGCCCGCTTTGCGTTGCCAGAGGCAGTGTCCACGTGAACATGGACTGGTTGGCACGCGGGTGTTGATGGGGCATGAAATTAGTCGCTCTGTCTTTTCCTTGAAGATCTCTTCTTGTTTGGGACCCCCTAAACCGTAAAACACTGACCCACTGACCGGCGTTGGCCTTGCTAGCGGAAGAAGAAGGGATCGTGACGGAAAAGACAGAGGGACTAACATGTTCCCGTGTTGATGGCCAGGACACCGGACAGTGGGCGCTGCCCAACCTGAACAGCACAGATTTCCCATGCATTGGCCGATTGTGGGAGAGGATGTTGAGGGGATGGTCGGCGGCGGATGCCCAGCGATGATTGGCCTCAAGATATCAAAGCCTGCCTGTCATTTGTGCTCGCCTGCCCATCAGCTTTCGTTTCGATGATCGCCGCAGTACCCTTGCACGCCCCCTGAAGCAAAGGGGGATTCTGTTTGCGGATTCCAAACATTACATTGCAGCCCATGAGCTGATCAGTGTCCATGTGCCTCTGCATGTATATCTTGCGCAAGATATGTGGGCTTTGTGCCACCTGGCAAGAGAGTTCAAGGCGATGTAAAGCGCCCAAGCTGCCCCAATCCCAAAGAAAGAGAAAAGAGAAGATCGGCAAGCAAAGGGGGAAGTTGTACAGGCGAGTAAGGAGGCGAGGCAGCAACGATTGACAATAGCGTTTGGTCGGAGGATTGCAGCGGCACGTGCAGATCGTGTCGAGCGTTTCACGTGTCGGTGCGGACGCCAACGGTTGATGGTGCATTCAACTTGTGGGTTGGGAGAGCCCGTCGCCTAATGCGTCAAGCCCTTGACGTCAAGCGCTATTGCACCCAAATCAAAGTAGGGCCTTCGCATAGTTTCGGAGTTTCAGCCAGTCGTCGCCACAACACGCTTTGAGTGTGTGACGGGCAATGATGCGTTTACACATTGGACAGTGCAGCGCACAATGCAGCTTGATGGATTACGGTACGCGCCAACTCGTATGATGATTGTGGATTGACAGGTTCATTTACTTGCAGTTTTTTTACAAATTTGTAAGTGCTACCTGGAGCGCAGTCACGTTCCACGCGGCACTTACAAAATTTACAAGAAGACTCTCACGAGCGCGATTGGCAAAATTTGGCTGGAAGCAACTAACACACGTGTCCAACGCGCTTTCTCCTGGCCAGCTGTGGAAGCCTTATGCGCTGTATTAAGACGGCTCTGTTGCACATACAGGCGGCCAGGCTTGGCTCCAAGGCCCCAGCAACGTCCCGTTGTTGACGGTGTCACAGTTGTTGCGGGTGTGATGTGCGGGGGTGGATGGTGTACTGCGAGACCTCCACCGTAGTGGTCAGTGAATCGGACGTACTTGCAGTGATTTCGTGGCACGTGTCTCAATCGCCGTTCGTCGGGTGTCCATTCCGATCAGGCTTGGCTTTTACGCCGGAAAAACTGATCGTATTTACGTTTTTACGCGTAAAAATAGTTTTTACGTTTTTACGCGTGAAAATGCGTAAAACTACGTAAATACAACGTAAAAACTGCCTGGTGTACATAAGGACAGTACATATGGATTTACAGAGTCCGGAGAGTGGCAGCCAGACGCCTTGGAAGAGGCAGAAAACGAGTTTTTGCTAAACGCCATTATCGCCCTTGCCTCAGGCGAGGTGGACATTGTGCTCCGGGTGATGGAGATGGCAGAGGACTGATCATTGTATGCAACTTTCATCGTGTAAACTACGTGTGCCAGGGAGCCGTAAAAACGTAAAAATAGCCGTAAAAATAGGCCCTTTTACAAATTTACGTTTTTACGCGTAACAACGTAAAAGTAAAAACGCAAACGTAAACGTAAAAACCAAGCCTGATTCCGATGACACATTGGCACATGCCTGATACAGGCGGCCAGCCAGGTGTCAGAAAATTGCAGAAGCCCACCAAAGCTTTTGTACGGGGAGCCACGTTTATTGCCTGCGACATGAAAACACTACGAGGGAAGGCTAAATTAATTTAGCCCTCCCTCGTGGTGCTTTCATGTTACAGGTAATATGGGCGTGCTAGTGACAGAGCTAAATGCTCACCGGCCCAGAATGGATGTGCAGAAGAGGGATCAGTGATGGGCGGACTGGGGCACGACAGTTGATCAGTGTGTGGGCGAAATGCAGCATTGCTGCAGCCACGTTGTACAATTGTAAGGCTTGTCGGGTTTTAAAATATGAACATGTACTGACACAGATATGCAAAGACTAATGCGCTGTTTGCGGGTGGCTGTGGAGTCCGGAGTCCACATCCAGAGGGAAAAAAACTGCTTTGCCTGCACATAGCTGCACTTGTGCTGAGTCCACGAAATGACCACTGCAGTTTAGAAGTGGGCAGTCGTGCCCCGTTTGTTGAGGGATGGCTGCAAGTTCCATTCTTTGGGCGATCAGGTCAATGCAAAACCGTTCAACAGAAAAGCTTCGCTCAAAAAAACTCAATCAAGGAAAGAAAAACAAGCGGATCCACGGATCTTTCCCGTACTGGGATGGCGCCACCCATCCAAGTACGCGACATGACACATGCATGCACGCATGCCCAGAAAAAACTGCAGGCAGACAGTGCTTTATCAAAGACGATAATTCATGACGAGGAAAAACAAAGTGGATCTTCAAGTG